AAATTTTTTTTTTTTTTTTTTTTTTTTTTTTTATAAAGTTGGAATATTTATGTACTTTTCTTCCAATGTACACTTATTGCTGTTTATTTGTAGCTTTTATTCATTTTTTAAAAATTGTTCTAAATTTTGTAATAATAAAACGTTTAGTTTGATGTATATTCTTTAATTTTGCTGACACCTTTCATAAAAACCAAAAGATTCTCCACCTGTTTACTGTAATAATAATACAACTACATTGTCTCCATTAAATCAAATACTGCAGTGAGTTTAATCTAAAAACAATAACAGCAGATAGTCGACAATGATGCGTTTGTGTATCGAGTATCTCCCGAGTATTGCTTTTTGTTAAAGCAACATAAAAAAACAACTTTTAATAAATTGCCTATCTTAAAATAAAACTGTTTGCTTGTTGAACTTTTTGTTCGGGGCGGGCTGTGAGATAGCGTCAAACAAGAAATTAATCGAATTTTGCATTAATGTTAAATTTCCATATAAAATTATTTGCAATGTACAGAAGTATCAAAGATGATGTTGAACGTAGTATCAGAGTCAATATTGTTGAATTGCCTCTAATGGCGGAGTTGATAGAATCTTGAGAAGAGGAACAGGGTAGTGGTTCATATAACGTCCTTTCTCTTCTTACCCAATTGGATATTTCAGTTTAATATCGCAGAATTGTGTTTATTTGAGACATCATTGAGAGAGAATGTTGTGTCAGCGGTCCTGCAATTTTTAATGATTCCCATGTTCAAAGTACTATTGGTGGTTGCTGAAGAACGTAGTATAGGCAGAGTGGTTATGTTGAGATACTTTACATTTGAGCAATTCTTAGGTAACTGGCTTTGAGTGGAGTTGAATTACGGAGAAATTTTAGAAAAATTATCAGAAGATATATATGTTAGCAGAAGACCAGACATATTTTAGAAACAATCCAGAGAACAAAATTTACCATGGAATTTAGTGACTATTTTGAATAATTTTTACTGCTTTGCTTAAGAATATTTCAAAGAGGTTACAATTCTGTAAAAGCCGGCATTTTTTTAAATCGAGCTACACTAATAATTATGTGTTTTATAGATCTTAAGTAATAGTAATATAAAAAATGATTCGAATTCAAATAATATCGTTAGATTGTTGAAAAATCAAATATCAACATTCCACGTAAATTCCAAACCTTTCATCGCTGAGACTGCTATGCGTGGATAAGAAATTCATATTTTTAAAATTATTTAAATTGATAATTTGAAGTTTCAAAAGAATTCTCACTCATCAAATATATTTTTTTGAATAAGGCAACTGAAACAGAGAATTACAAATAATTCATTTGTTTGTAACTATATGGAGTTTCATTAACTAAGTGGTTTATTCCTTGCAGGTTGCGTCAACGAGTGACAAAATGCCACTTTATTTTT